TACCAAGGGTATTTGCTTGTAAGTAAATATGACGAACCCGACTGCAATTGGAACTCGTCTTTCCAATTTCAAATTCCGAGCTTTTATCAATTACACCACCGTCATATCCAAACATACATCACCTTGTATTCCCAAGCATTGAACCATCTAACTAGGCTAGACATGAAATAACTTCTGTGATCGGAAGAGTTCGCCTTCTCTTGTTCTGGTTGTTAATCAGGGCGACAGAGTCTAGTCTGGCCGGTTATTTAAACCATAGATTTCTTGAACCTATAGCCAGATTAAATACCTTTACCAAGAGTATTTGTGCGAAAGTCGATATAACGATCCTGACCTGTCCAATCACCGATTTTTCCTTCAGAGCCTCTAACCATTACACTATCAATAATAATAATAATAATAATAATAATAATAATAATACAACGTAATAAATTAATGCTTCTTTTTTATCTTTTCATTTCAAGCAAGGTAATAAAGCCACTAAGACGCAAGGTGTTACAGAGTGTGAGAGAATATGATAAAAGGAAAAGATTATTAAGAAGAGAGAACAATAAAATAACAATTTTATTTGTTCTTAAAAAGCCGGACATTTTTTCCGTAAACCAGTATAATTGAGTTGATGTATATCTGTAAATACATAGCGAATTAAAGTCCTAACCTAATTCTTAAAGTATGTGACTCTGCCTCACTGATGTGAATGACAACATGACGTTGTAAGTCTTCTTTGAAACATGGTACAAGTCAGTCATCTTGCAATTTGTAGGAATTCCAGAACTGTACTTATGATAATTGGGTTTTTGTTCGTCCATTAATCCTTCATGGGCCATGGATCCTTTCCTAATGTCATTCAAGAATAATCCGCGGGTTATTGTCTGTGGCTTTCCGCTTTTAACTAACAATTCTACCTCTATATGCAGATCGATTCGTTATCTGACGAAGCAGAAGGAAATATCGACTGTCAGGTCGAAAGACTAGTAAACTTATGTCTTCAGATCTTCAGGAGTTCTCTGACTGATTAGCAATAAAAAAAAGTATATATGGAATAATAATCCGGAAATGTATGGATTTATGTGGTTGTTATAGCATCACACACACACACACACACACACACACACACACACACACACACACACACACACACACACTACCGACCAAATGTTTGGGAGCACATTGATTTTTTCCTTTAAACTTAAGAAATGAATCAAGTTTCATATCTTTAAAGAAATAAATTTATTTTTTCTATGTTTGCATTCAATTATGGAACAATTTAAATCAAAATGAATATAAAATAATTATAATTTCAATTAAATCAAATTTATATTTTCTTTTCATCAAAGAATCCATCCAAGCATTGCAGAGCAAATTCTTGGCATCCTTTCTAGTCACTTGTAAAAGTCTGTTGGTAGAAGTGATTCCCAAGCAGTGCTTAAATGTGTAAATAACTCCTGTTTATTCTTAGGCAGTTCACTTTAAAATTTATGATCAGTTTCGTCCCAGAAAAGTTCAATTGGTGAAAAATCTGGAAACTGAGTGAGTCAAAGTCATTCCATTATCTTCCTTTGATTTTACATCATTTGTACACAGTTTTGAGTTGTGTTTTGGGATCATTATCTTGTTGCGAAACAAAATTTTTTCTAATAATTTGACAGCCAGAAAGAATTACATGCCTCTGCAGTATTGAATGATATTCTTCCTTTCGCATAATGCCTTTAATTTGAACAAAGTCTCCAGCAATTTCACCTCTAAAACATCCATAAAAGCATTACATCATGGCCGCCATGATTAACACCTGACACACTCCTCCACGGTTTTATCCTTTGTTTTCTGTTTGGTATTGAATTTCCGGTTCCATCTATAGTTTTCTTCTCTTTCATTTCCGGTGTACCCTGGCGTCTCAGTGCTTCTTACTTTGTAACCCTCTACCTCGAGTAGCTCTTGGAGCTTGTACAGGGGAATATCATTTTAACATGGCGGTATATACATACGATCAACCACAAGTTTGGGAGATCATTGATTTTTCTTCTAAACTTAAAAAATAAATCAAGTTTCACATCTTTAAAGAAATCAATTTTTCTATGTTTGCATGCAATTATGGAACAATTTAAATCAAAATTAATATAAAATAATTGTAATTTCTATTAAAGAAAATTTATATTTACTTTTAAGGTGTGTTTTTGGATCATTATCAGGTTGCAAAACAAAATTTTGATCGATAATGCCAGAAAGAGTTTTTATGAATTTTTATGGATTAGAGCAACAATTCAGGGTCGTCTGAAAATTTTGATCGGTAGATTGTATATATATATATATATATATATATATATATATATATATATCCAAGCATATTGTTGAATATAAAAGACAATGAAGATCTATTATGTTTGATCATGAGCCGTTCCAAGCTTCCAAGCTTCGTATGTAAACATAACAGGCATCTTTGATGGTGAATATATTTGTTTAGATGTCCATATAAGCAATTTGAAGATGACCCATGTAAACCGAAAGCTTAGATCACTGACCAACATAGTAAAAAAATAAGCAAATGTTGGGCGGTTTTTGTCTTTATATTCTCCCGAAACTAAAGTCACTCTACGAAAATTGCAACGGTTCATGATCAAACATTATAGACATTCGTTGTCTGATATATTTAATAATACATGTTTGAATAATGATCATGCAATATGCCCAATGCAATATATATATATATATATATATATATATATATATATATAGGTATGTGTAGGTGGATCATAAGTACTTGCAAATTTTACCTTGTCACTGCACTTAATCTTTTAGTTTTTCTTCGATCACACACACAGGCGGAGAGTTATAGAGTGAAACATTAAGATCAAAATTAAGTTAATAATTTTGCGTCACTTAATGCTTATTGATATTTGATTCTAAATGTCACCCAATACAATGCTCGAGAACCACTTCAGGTAGAGACGCTAAATGAAGTGAATGAACTGTGTGATAAGAACGTCAAAAGATGTCGAAGGAAGTGAAGATCTATGAGGCAACGAAAGCCAGAAGGCGACTTATCTTTGTTCTGAAGATGTGTGTGTGTGTGTATGTGTGTGTTGTGTGTGTGTGTGTGTGTGTGTGTGTGTGGTAATGTTGCTGGGATCAAGAATCCTTCCCTCTTTATTCGTTCGTTTTAGGTCAGGTTTTTGTCGAGCCAATAATTGTTCATATCTATCTATCTATCTATCTATCTATCTATATATATATATATATATATATATATATATATATATATATATATATATATATATAATATTATATTAGATTAAGATTACTTAACTTTTAAATATAAATTTTATCCTGACTCCCAAGTTTCTTTTTTATAATTTATAAATTAAAAAAATGGAAATATCGTTTAAAACCACAACCCCTGAATACTGTAAATTTTACCAAGAAACTTGAAGTCAGGGTAAAATTGATAATTAAAAGTTAGTCTTTTCATATAATATTATTAACAATCTATTTTAATATAAAATAATATTTTGTATTGATCACAGCATATAAAAATATTTGATGTTTTTAAATCTTATATATATATATATATATATATATATATATATATATATATATATATATATATATATTTTTTACATATATATATACATGTGTGGTGCTGAAAAATTTGTATTCTCCGATAAAGAATCATTTTCCTCTAGCTCAGGTTTTGTGTAGTGCGTCGTGACAATAATTGAAAAGTCACCTTCCTGACAAATCGAAAGGGATGAGATTCGAATCCAGGTTAATGGTCAAAAAGCGAATATTTAACCATTCGATCACGTCCCCATTCCCCCCCCATATATATATATATATATATATATATATATATATATATATATATATATATATATATATATATTGGAACCTATGGGATCTGTAGGTTTTAAATCAATCGATACCAAGTGGGTCTCTGTTCTTTCCCCCATCAACTAGTTTACCGCGCGCACACACACACACACACACACACACACACACACACACACACACATATATATATATATATAAAGAGAGAGACAGAGAGAGAGAGAGAGATCCATTATAGGTTTACACAAAATGGGAGTATCAAATGATCTCATGATCTTGTAAGACGTAAAATCTCTCTATCTATCCCAGTCACTTCATTATCTATCTATCTATCTATCTATCTATCTATCTATCTATCTATCTTAGTCTCTCCATTATCTATCTGTCCATCTATCTAAATAATCTTGTGCTCACCTCCCAATTTTTGGCTGAGGAAGAAGAGTAAAGAATTTTTTGGCTGAGGAAGAATGTAAAGTATATTAATAAATAATAAATGTGTTTTATTCGAATGACATTTTTGTAGGTTTAAATTAATCCTGTTAGTTTTACGAATTTTTTAAGAAGCGTTCATAAATCCGGCGTCTGTCTCGTCAGTGAACAGCTACAATGTGAATAAAAAATATGCCTCCTTTATTAACTGTCACTGTAATCTAACAACGCATGTAAACACTAGAGTCGAATTCAGACTTTAATGGCGGCTAAATGCCGATGTTCATCGATTTTTCACACGGTCGTCTGATAATTTACCGCCGAATGATAACATCAATCTTTGAAGTACAAAATGTCGCTCAGAATTGATTAAGGTGAGGCTAGGGTTAGGACTACACTGATAAAGATTTTTCTAGTTGTCCGAGTTTCTTAGATAAAACAGTTTTCTTTGTCTGACTAGTTGTTATTTAATTCTTTATATATAAAACATTTTATTAGTAATAAATAATCTAGTTTTAGAATTTTTGTTAAAGAATTGTCATTATTGTAATTGTTGACTTAAAAAAATACCTGTCCTTTGTAGCTCTGAATAACTTTTGTCTTATTGCTTATTTCTTCCAAAAGCTGCTCTGGTATTCATTCAATCAATTCACCAGGTACCTTATCTGGTAGTGTCAAATTTTCCAAGGCCTATTTCCTCATTATGTGATCCAGAAATTTCTACTGTCTCTTTGTTGACATTTTCTCTAGAACTTCGTCATTGCTCACATGTTCGGTCCATGATATTCTCAGCATCCTCCTGTAGAACCACATTTCTGCTGCTTCAAGTATCTTCTTCATCTGTGAGGAGATTATCCGACATTCACTGCCATATAGGAGGACCGATATTACATAACAGTTCAGTTTTGGTTTCTTTGTTTCTAACAATATTTTTCTGATTCTTAATACTTTGCTTAGCTTTTGGAAGGCATCTTTCGCTATCCCAACGCGATTTCCGTGTTGCGCTCTCCGTCTTCTGTTCATACGCTTCCCAGATATTTCAATTATGACACCTCTTTGATTTCTTTATCTTCAATTTATAAATTGCATGTTGGGCTGTTCCCTTTTCCTAACAACCATGTATTCAGTCTTCTTGCAATTGATGCTTAGTCCTTTCTTCTCGCTTTCCTTCATTGGTTGGAGTCCTTGAAGTTTTCTTTCTTTGTCTGTTATCAACACTGTGTCATCTGCATATTTGTTATAGTGGAACACACCTATTCTATAGTTAATAGACTCTCCCACCTATAATAAGTAGGAGTAGTAGGAGTCGCTCAGTGGTTCGGTCAGTCAGTCGATGAGATGATCGGTTGAACTCTCTGCCTTCGGGCGGAGAGGAACCCGAAGGAGGCTACGCCGAAGGGCAGATTCTCTTTCGGGGAGGTAAACCGACCCTGAACCCGTTTATACGGGTTCAATGGGCATATTTTTGGCCGAGCCCACGGGCTCTGAGATCCCACGTTAAAAAGGCCTTGTGCCACATGACGCCCTCGTGGGGGGGAGTGACTGAATATCGTCAGTCAGTCAGTCGATGCCGGACGACCGTTAGTCGGATACTAAAGTATCAGCGATCACAACTAGATTTCTCTGCGTCATTACCTATTATATCAAGTTCCTAACGTTTTGTATGTCGAACCTATTTTAGGACCGACTTAGTACAAGTACAAGCCTCCACTGTGAAATCACTCCACAACAATATCTGAGGTTGTTAAGATTGTGGCCGTCTGTAATAAATCCTGGTAGAACATCTAATTCTCTTAGATTTCTCTTGGACGTTTACAAATCTACCATTCGTCCGTGCACTGGATACTGCTGCTATATCTGGTCTGCTACTTTTGTTATTCATCTTGAGGTTCTTGACAAAATCCAACGAATGATCTGCAATATAATCGATCCTGACCTGGCATCTCGACTTTCTCATTGACGTGACGTGGTTTTTTCTACAGTAGACTTTTCTACAAATATTTTCATGGCAATGGCAATTGCTCTGACGAGTTTTTTTCCCTGGTGCCCTGACAACATAAATTTAAGTGTACTACTAGATTGACATCCAGGTCCCACCCACTTACTTTTAAAAAGCTAAATGCAATTGCCACTTCTACTGCAACCCTTTATTTTCTCGCACTTCACGCCTGTGGAACTCTTTACCGTTTACTTGCTTCCCTGAAAACTACAATCTTTCAAAATGTAAATGCTACATCAATCATCATCTTCTGTCTACTTAAATCCTGTTCATCTTTTGTCCGTTTCTCAACGCCTCCCCCCATTACTCCCTATTACTTTTCTCTCACTTTCACACCCTGTACCTCCCTGCGTACTAGTGGCATTCACGCCTTACTTGGGGTGAAATGATTAACAAAAAATGACTGAAATTATTCTCTGTCCCTATGCAAAAGGTTTAGTGCCAATATAGCTTTTGGATTCTTCTAATATCCTTCCCAAAATGTTAAGATTTCCTAACAGTTCCAGCAGATTTTTGTGACGTACTTTTTGCCTCTCTAATTAATACTGAATACCGGCGTCGTGCTAATACTACTAATAAACTAATACTACTAATAAGTTAATATTACTAATAAACCCTTAAACGTTGGAAATATTAAATTAATGTCTCAGTGGAGATCAGCAGATATCAATTGATGATTTAAACTTTTTGAAACGCATTCATGATTGGATTCTAAATACCAAATTGTTATCTCTAGGATTTACGGGATTGCATCATTTCCTGGAGTATCTGCCTGCAAATATCATTAGAAGAACAAGGCAAACATGGAGCTGTTTCAGAAATGGAAAATGTTCCATATGAAATATATATAAACAAGTTTCAGGGTGCGTAATGAGGGGAAATCATTCTTAAAAATGTTAAAAAATGGATGTTGACACTTCCTCGAATTAATTGTCAAGAGAGAATTCTATATATACAAAGAAGTTACAAGAATTCTATATATACAAATAAGTTACAAGATCGTCTACCTCCTGAATTGATATGACATTTAAACTTTTGGTTGTGTGGGTGTCCATCGTGTTTATATATATTTTCAGTGCGATGATTGACTTTGGTGATTATTGGCTAAGGCTCTTACTCTAGGTTCCATTCTGCTTATAAGTAAAAGTAGATTTCATTGTTTTTGTAATCTACAGACAAGAAGCTGTGTAACTGTGTTGAAACCACATTCAGCCATATTGGAAGGTGGAAAAGCAAGAACGAAAAGTTTGAAAGCTTACCACAACTTTAGATACCTTTCAGAATTTTCTTTTAGCAGCAATATTGAATAATTTTTAAAAATTCGGAAAAAGGATGGAATGTCCCGACCCCTGAGTACGTTCACTGCCCCCGCAAATATAATAAAAACACCTAGTGCCCCATTCCAGTATAACAAAGCCCAGAAGGGAGCGAAATCGCCCACTTTGAGATACACTGATCTAAACGGATGCTAATTCATAACAGCGAGTTAACGATGACTAAAACATTTGGTCACTGATATAAAAACGCAATTTTATGACCTGAACATGAACCTGATATTGTAAAATGCTTTTTTTTCTGCAGCTGCAAGAGAACGTCTGGTAGCTGGAAGGAGTTCCGTGTCGGCAGTATCGGTTCTAATTTAACAGTCAATTTTTCAAATTTTTGTGGCATTGATCAGTAATTCGGAGACAAGTTCATCTAGCGGTTGGAATTTCTTGATCAAGCCCGGAAAACTGAGGATTTTATTAGAATAACGAATTTTGTTATATAACGCATGATTAAAAAAAAGGTGGTATTGGAAATTCTCCGAACGAGGAGCTCCCACTAGATCTCGTAATTGATTTTAACGCGAAATAGTTGATAAATACTCATCAACAAGTTCACTGATTTCTTCCATGTTTTTGGCGTTTTTGGTGGTGATTGTTTTTAGTGATTGTGTTAAAGGGTCCACCCCTTTTTATACAAGTGTACTCCCCCAGTGTGTAATTGTACTGCTGCTGGTGAATACCCGAAAGTGATAGAGTGAGAGAGTGAGATAACCGCTCTTTGTAGGAGTCACAGTTGCGAGCACGTAGACTCAGAAGGAAGTCATACTTCGATACTGAATTTCCCAGACCTTATATATATTATTATTGCTACTAACCGCATTTCTGGATCTACTAACCGTATTACCAATTGTATTATTACGTCAATACATTTATTTGCTATATTTCATTCCTGTGTTTGTCCTTCATTTGAGACCGGATTTCATCCCGGAATCCGCAACAGATTGTTTGGCCTTAAATGTCATCATTTTTAACCGACACTTGACAGGCTTTGAAACCCTCGGACCAGTAAAGATACCCATGTTAGAGTTTTGCCAAAAGACTAACAGAGCAAAGATGTAGATGCATTGTTCGAATTTGTCAGTCATCGTAACGATCAAAGAGCCGTTCCAGCGCATCGTTACGAAATCTCGATTGATAACGGAACGTCAATAGAAAGCATCAAGTTTATTGGAAGGACTAACTCGGTAGGGTAGATACCAATGATCGTCAGATGCGCGTATTTTGTCCGTTGATATGTACAACTTTCAATAACCCCTGAATATATGTTAGTCTTCAACATATTTACTATCATAATTTGAGACATTTAGCAGTTATTGAAATTCCTGGAGCGAGTGACAATAAAAGAAGTAAAAATAAGCAATATTTTTCACGTTTTAATTTTTATTTTCAGAACGGTAAAAATGCAACAAACGCAAATATGCGTGCCTTTTATGGGGAAAGAGCTGTGAAAAATCGAAAGTGTCAAAAGTGTTTAGCGAAATTTTATATTGGAGATTTCTAGCTGAAAGCGGCCCTTGTTGATAGCAATGAGAGCAATACAAGCAGCTTTTCTATGTAGTGTTCATTTAGGATATGGGAAATCATGGCGCCTCACAACGTCCTGTTTTTAGTTGCTCTAAGTAACTTACTATTGTAACGACTTTTATATCCCCATCTCTACTCACTTAAAAATATGGGAAAATGTTGCTGTGTGAAAATGTCAACTAGGCAAGATCGAATAAGAAGTGTAATAAGAAAAGAGTTACAACTTCGACAGAAATAATTTATGTCGTTTGTTTATAGCTCCAGTAATACGGACAAGGATAATATCAGTATTTTTAGCAAATTGGATTCTACGTGTAAATATAAACATCAATCTTCCACCGACTGGAAAAATCATCCCGTTCTGTGTCTGGATTCTCGTTTGTGTCAGTGTGCCCCGAAACTGGGAAAGTCCCGATGTGCGTTTACAAGGAAAACGAAAGGCGGTTTAACGATACGGCGAGAAATGAAAAACATAAACCCTTTTCCCCTTAAATTTGATGATTCATTCACGGGTTCACTTGGCAAGGTCTCGTTGGTTGGGTGTACAGGTAGATGTCACATTGAATAACTTCTACTTTTTCAAGACTGCTATTCCTTTCGTCACTCATCTGTCCATCTCTAAATCCCGACGCGCGGTTCACTATTCCTTAATGAGCTGCCAAGAAGTATTTTCAATTCCAATTGTGACTAATTGTTGATATAAGGTTGCAACCGGATATTCCTAACTTTCGGTCAAGTGGCACTTGATCCCGAAATTGTTTATCTTCTTAATCATTTTCTCTATTCCATTTCTCTCGGCGGGCGGCCGTTTGGCTATTATAATTCGTAGGTTTTATTGTCTTCGCAATATTTTGGACTCATTTACAATCGAAAGCAGACATCTTTACTTCATGGTTGTTTATAGCCAATCGTTTGGAGCCTCCTTGTCTTAAATAAAATTAGGTGTCGATTTTTTTAAAAAATGGCTTAGAAACAGCTTATTCACAATAGATTTGAATTACGATTAGTGTTATTAAACTGTCAAATTACGAATTAGAAAGTTGACCAAAGTATGAACCTAGGTAATCTTTATCTCATAAGCCGACAAAAATAAAATATCGTAAAATAATAAGGATTAGACTAAAAGGCTAAAATACATTTTTGTTTTTTTGTGAATGTTTAATCCTCTGAGGGGATTATACATTTCTGTTAATTTAGACGTATGTAAGATGGAATTGGTGAAAACCAGTTAGATTTTGAAATATTTTTATTTTGTTGTTAACGCTTTCGCTGCGTACGGGAATTTAATAAAACAATTACCAAAATCTAAAGAATAAAAACGTTACAATTTCAACAATGTTACTGGGAAAAGGACGGGTTAATTTATTCACAGTTAATAACTTTTAAAATAAATATACGTGAAATGCTAACATAAAACGTAAATGTAGTGATTTTATTTCATTCTTGGTTTTAACTTTTTTTTTCTCTTCATTTTCTTTACACTTCATTCTTTTTGCATTTCTTTTTCTTCTTCCTTTTTTAGTCTCTTTGCTTTCTTTTTCTTTATAATTGTATTTTTTCTGCTCATGTGTCTTCTTGTAGTTCTTTTTCTCCATCTTGTTATTTTCTTTGATTTCTTCATTTTGTTCCTTCTTTTTCTTCTTCTTTATTGCATATTTCGCTCCGTGTATTCTTGAACTTCTCCTCCTCTTTCTTCTTATTTTTCTTTACTTTCTTCATTTTGTTTTTTTTCTCTTTTTTTTTCTTATTCATTGTATTTTTTCTTCGCTCCGTATCTTACTGTATCAATTTTTCTTCCTCTTTTTGTTATTATCGTTGCTTTATTCGTTTCATCTTGTTGTTGTTGTTGTTTTTGTCGTCGCTTTGTTCATTTCGTTTCTTCTTCTTCTTCTTCTTCTTCTTCTTCTTCTTCGTCGTCGTCGTCATTGCATTTTCTTCGCTCGGCGGTTCTTCAGGATATTTTTATTCTCATTCTTCTCAGTTTATTTACCTCATTTTTTTTATCTGCTTCTTCTTCGTTTAATGGTTTCACCCTTTGTCGTCGTCGTCTTCTTCTTATTCTACTTCTTCTTCTTCTTCTTCTCCTCCTCCTTCTCCTCCTCCTCCTCCTTCTTCTTCTTCTTCTTCCATGATTTCGGCTATTATGTTTGCCATCTCCCTACTTCTATTTCTATTTTCCTTATGATGTCTTCATTTCGTTTTCTTCTTCTTCTTCTTCTTCTTCTTCTTCTTCTTCTTCTTGATGTCATTTGTTCACTTCCGTTGTAACGTTTTCTGGGCTCAGCATCTTTCCCGGGCTTTTTTCCATTAGCATCTTATTTCCTCATCGACACAAACACATCCTCCATTTATAAACTGAAACAAATACATTTTTTTTTTTTTCTTGTCCCTTCCACTTTCATTTGGCTTCGGCATTTCATCGTATTTCCCTCGCCCTCGCAATTATACATCACTTAAAATAACATCCCGTATATTTACACGCTTTTTTTTTATCGTGTTCATGGCGAGTAAAACGTTTTGACTACATTATTGAAATTGTTATCTGAATCCGCTCAGTGCAGCTGCTAGAAATTTTATTCAGAAGAGAGAAAAAAACTGTTTTCAAACGTCGTGTGTGGCGCAGTGAGTTTGTTTTATGCATTAGTAAAATGAATTGGTAATTACAATCGGTTGTGCGTCACTAATTAGAGAATTACGTGCATAGACATCGACATGGAACATTCGACTGGGGGGATGAACAACAAGATAATATAAAAGGTATAATGAATATTATAAACTTTTCATTTGCCTCTTAGTGGGTTGACTATTTCCGACTAACAACTCACTAACAGATAATCCATATGTGAGGAACTCTGAAAACTATAGAATCGATCCCGTGGGATCCATATATGGTTCTTGGATCGTAAGCCTGAGTGTGGTGAGCCTGTTCACCAGAATTTCTACGGATGAGGCTGTGGTTCGAAACCGATTGGAATCAGACCTCTCGTTTCGAGAACGTGATAATATCCCGACCGCTAACATGATGGAAATTCTGTAATTTTGTTTACAGACAATATTCTTCCAACTAGAGTCTGGCATATACAAACACGAGGAAGGCTTAGCTATGGGTTCACCGTTGTCACCAGTAATAGCGAACATACACTTGGGATATTTCGAGAAAATGGCTTTAGAAACAGCACTACTGTAACCAGTGGTATGTCTGAGATGCGTAGATAACACCTTCAACATCTGACCTTACCAGGAAGCAGTACAAATACTGCTGGACCATATGAACTCACTATCATCTTTGATTCTGTTCGTGATAGAATAATAATAATAATAATAATAATAATAATAATAAACAAAACGATTGAAACAATTCTTCCAATATTTTTCAACAGTTAAAGAAGAGCGTGATTTAAGAAAAGAAAAAAACAGTGTTTGACAATGTTAAACATTATTTCTACAGAATGTCTTCAAGTTATAAAGGGTATTTCATTAAAACGGATCAAAGTCAGCAGTAAATAAATGAGTGTTATTGGTGAACATTTATTTCTCTATTGGATCATGTTATATAAGTCATGGCAATTATGTGTGAAAAATAATATCGCCAAAATGTCCGCCAAGGCTTCGGCGGCACACCTCCGCTCGATAGTCAAAATTTTTGATGACATCTCTGCATAGTTACACCTCGATCAATATGCCTTATTAACTCATCCTTCAGCTGTTGAATTGTTGTTGGCTTGTTAGCATAGAGGTTACTTTTGAGATGACCCCAAAGGAAGAAATCTAAAGGCGTCAAGTCGCACGATCTTAGTGGCCAATTGAATTCGCTGTTTCAAGAGATGATGCGATCTGGGAACTTCTCATTCAAATTCCGTTTGAACGTTCATTTTCGTAATAGGTTTCGATAACTTTAACACTTTGTTTGATTATTAATTTTTCCATGGTTGCAATTGCCTTAAGATTTAAGTTGTTAAATGTGAAAGAAAAAGAAAAAAAAATTAGATGCTTAAACATAATTCACATTTAAAAATCGGTCTAAGATATTGGGACACCCTTTATTTAAAAATAAATTTCAAGTAGAAAAAATATAAATTTATAAAAAATTATAATTCTTTGTACAAACGTTGCTTGTCTTGTAATGAAATAAAAAAACAAACAAAAAACGCCTGTATTGGTAATGGACGCATCAAAACGCATGAAACGCAGCCATTCCAAATACTTACTTTTGTTTATTAGACATTAAATTGTGTCATTTGGGGTCCTCCATAGCTTGGTTAGACTTTTCGGATAGCCTGATGAATATTTATGAGCGTTGTTAAATTTAAAGATTAAAAAATGAAAATAAATCTCATGATAAAACTCATAGAATATCACCCCAGAACACCCAAAGTCTGCGGCTCCCTAAAACTAGTATCCCGATGAGCCCTCTTAGGTCAGGAATAGACAGCGCCACCCCCTAAACTGGCAAAAACCATAACAAAAATTCTAACCCCTCTCCTTGGAACAATCAGTTCATCTCCTATAAAGAACTCAGGTAGCCGAGTTAGAAAACTAAGAGAATTGAACATGACCGATCTATATATATATTATATTTTCATTATAAGAGATTATAATAAAAACATTTTGAAATCGCTACACAAAAACTTTCATGTTTCAAAACTATGACTGTACTTCTTCATCCGATGGTAAGTAACTGGTGATTAATAGAATTTTTAAGGAAATTTACAAAGTCTTATTTCTTTTCCAAAAGTTAAAGGGGGGGGTGACATAAGGTCAGAATTAAAATTAGACTTGTGGGTATGTCTCGATTAACCAATTAAATATCAGATCTACGCTAAACGTAAAAGTAAGCCCAGAGAGTAGAGGTGGGTGAGTTATTTTTTCATGTCATGATAAACCGGAACATAGACAGGCCATCATTGAAGATTGAGGAAAATGTCAGCGACAAATGTATCGTGATTGTAGTCAAAATATATATAATAAAATATTACTATATACTACGTCGGTAGTATTTTTTCCTTTACTACAAACATATATGGATGTACTAAATATATGTGGATGGTATATATGTGTGTCTGTGTATGTCTCTATATGCACACATTTATTTCTGTGTATGTGTATTGTTGTGGCTTCTTCTTGTTCATCTTTGGCGTTATCTCTGAGGAAGTAAAAATTTTTGTTAATTTGGATAATTGAATGCTGCGCTTGTAATGAATTCTGAATCAGTCTCCCTCATTAGAAGTGTCGATAACGAAAGCTGTAGTCGCTATAGAAAATGAAAATTGGCAAGAATTTCTTTTAGAATTCTCCAAACCTTATCTTATTAACCAGGATGAGACAAGTTACTAACTTTCCCATCAAGAAATTATTCTAATCGGCGATGTTAAAATATGACAACCGTTGAAAATGATTTTGAGATTTGATAAGTTTTGTACGAGGACTTGTTAAGCTCTGTATGATTTAGCTGTCGATAATTTTCTTTACTTTTCTAACAGAAACAAAAACATTATTTCTATTATATATCTCAAAGTGATGTTTACATAAAATATAGACAAACATGAATAAACGGACGTAGTGTCAACAGGGAGTTTTTTTTCACATGATACCGATATTTAACTACCTTCATTCTTCAGCAAGCTTTTAAAAAGCGATGATTAGAATTGTAATAAAACCCTATGTGGTCAGTCTACCCGGGGTGGAAAAAGAAAATCCGAGTGTCGTGTCCACAAATACAACACAAAATTCTAAACAACGCGAAAACATTATCTCCGCAGAAAAAAAAGACCAGACTAAATATGACAATAACATTTATACAGGCAGTTATATCTATTTTTTATTAAAAATCAATGTTGTTTGTTGTGGCCATGAAAAGATGAATAATTTGATTGTTCCAAATGATTTGTCATAAGTAACGAAAACAAACGGTATGGCACATGCTAATGAAACTGTTAAATAATTGTTTAGCAAAAAATTATTTTTAGAGAATTGTATTTCTGCTCTGACTTCCTCATTTTGACCCTTGAGGTCAGATACAGGAAAATAAATGAAGTCGATTCTGATTGGCTAAAACTAGCGTGGGAATGTTAGATGTAGAAAGGGATTTCAGTGAATTAAGTCTTACACGTCATAGAATGTAGACGTGGTATTATTGTGTCTGGTAACTTGCTCCCCAGTGTGGGTGATAGAGTCACCCCACTAGCTGGTTAAGAGTCGACGTGATGAATAAATTAGTAAGATTCAAATTCCCTTAGTTGATGGCTTTTCATCTCTGGACCCCAAGACATTTCGCTACCAGGCCGGGAGAAGATGAGAGAGAAAAGAGATGATTACATCTTTATTGTCGAATCGACCCAGTCGCCAAGACCTCCCGACAACATGTGTGTAACTGCTGACCAATTGCGTGCGGTAGAAGTAGTTTTAAATGCGGTGAACAAAAAAGAGGAGTCAGGACTTACTTTCGTCACGGCTTTGTCTGTTTTTCCGTGTAGAAAAATCATCGCTGACTGACGCGTTGTCAGGGTAACGTGTGTCTATGCTGTTGATTGAGGCGGAGCCTGGTTCGCTGACTCTCTTTCGCAGATCTAGTCACTGAATGTTTTTGTCAAGTCTTTTCTAGAGTTATCGCTCTGCTCCGAATTACTATCTGAGTTTTGAGCGGGAATGTAACCCGATCCCCGCCCTTTTCCAGGTCATTTGTAGTTCAACCGAGCGGACGTCGGAGAAAGCACATCACGTGACTTGTCTTATCCAATCAGTTTCCAGAAACCACTTATTTAATTTAGAGCCTTGTTTGTACAGAGCTGTAAAAATAAGTTTTCGCATGTACTGGATTTATTAAGATTTATTTGTAGGTGTCTCTTACCTGTTTGTGCTTCACTCATTGGCTGTAAAATATAGGAGTTTATATCCTATAAAATTAAACATATGATGAAAGTGAATTTGTGCATTTCTTTGTTCTTGAGATTTTACAACAAAAATATTAAACACTATTTATTCATTTGATTGTTTATTTACAAGAATACTTATATATTTACGAGATTCTTAAAACTAATGTAATTAGAACTAATGCAACATTTATCATTTAATAATTTATAAAGAAATAAATATACAAACAATTTTTTATTCATAAATTTATAAACATTTACTAAATTATTAAAATATGTGAACCAACTATAAGGAAATTCCTATTATTTATCATTTTATAAATTTCAGATCAATTGGCGATTAGTCGATGTTTTGTGAACCATTCCAATAAACAATGTAATAAATAATGTAACTAGACA